TCTTCCCTATGGATGGAATAGGGAGATTAGGCCATGACCCACCACGCGGGCCCAGTGCGGATTGGTGGGTGCTAACGACTGCAGATGCAGCCGGGACCAACGGCTTAATGTGCCTTCCGAAGCACGGAGGAGCTCGAGATAGTAAATTTTTGGTCACCCATCCAATGACCGACCACTGCGAAAGTTGCTTAACTTCAACGATCGCAGCCGAACGCGCTAACCACTTGCGCCATCGAGCTCCTCAATACGTAACTTTATCTATTTTATTTGTGTGGGTAACCTTCTGTTTCATCTGCATTAATTTGAGGAAAAAAGCTATAGTATACCCTTTAAAGATAGGCATATGATGTCGCGGACTTTTTATAGAACGTTTAAAGGGTAACAATTCCGTATGATTTTTATGTAACTTTTACCATTAGCCACAACGCCAGCGCCCGCAACGGAAGCTCTCAAATTGAATATTTTCTCCCGTTTTTGCAACATTTTTCTTGGTGCTCTGCTCCTATTAGTCGTTTCCTCGATAAAAGTACCATCCACCACCATATTCAACATTAAAATATTTAAATAAAACAGTTTTAATTGGTTATATGCACTGAATTTATTCATTTATTGGAGTTTCGCATCCTATTCAGGAATGCGGCTTCGTCGGAATAATGATTTTTTATTTACTTTTTCAAGATACCTTCGAAAAATTAATGATAACTTAATGAGTGATGTGCGTGAAAACCTAAGAAACAAATATTAAAATTTTATTTTTTTTAGATCAGCCCAGTAATACCGGAGATTAGGGCGTTCAACCAAATATACAAACTCTTCAGCTTTATAACATTAAGTATTAGTTCACATTATAGCGGTAACCCTGAAAACAGCGATGCTTACCCACTTGGAAAGTTTTTTCCCAAAAAAATAAAGTCGCTTGTGAACTCCGGGCACTAATTAAAAGTAGAAGCGTTTTACTTTACGGCACTTTGAGTCACTTTGGGCAGCGCGAACTTTGCAACCATCACGATAGATTGAATTTCCAAAGAGATCTTTTATTTATGAGGGAAAAAAGTTGCTGATTTAACATGACCGGATATTTGATATAACGCTGCAGTCTATTAATTTAACATTAGTATGGTTAGTTCAATCAGTGATTGTGACCGAAAATGCTTCTCCTAAGAGAGGTAGGGCAGATTTTACGCTCGAATTGGAGCGGCTGCCTGGGAAAGTAACATTCACTTTATGCCGCATTTACACATTCGTGCGAATCGCGAGACGAGCTTGCATATGTGTTTACATATTTATAATAAAGCGAATAGCTATTGACAGCTGTCAACTGAATAAACAGTGCTGCCAGATGGTGCAAGTGGTTAGCACTTTCCGTTGCGATCGTTCAAGTTAAGCAACTTTTGCAGTGCATTGGATGGGTGACCGAAAACTTATTAGGTATCTTGAAATCCTCCGTGCTTCAAAAAGCACGTTAAGCTGGTGGTCCCGGCTGCATCTGCAATCGTTAGCACCAAAACATCCGCACTGGGCCCACCCTCAATCTCCCTTATCCATCCATAAGGAAGGCATGTGCCCCTGGAGTGGGGTCATTAATAAGCTGATCATTACAATAAATATTTAAGGGGGGCTCCCATACAACAGACGTGACTACTTTAGCCGTTTTTTACTCGTTATCATAGTGCGCAACCCTTCATGTGCGAGTTCAACTCGCACTTGGCACGCTAGTTATATATGAATAATTGTATAAACCCAATAGATGTAGCCCGCATGCCGCCCTTATTTCACATCCTCCATTTTCATGAGAGAGTGTCAAAATGATTCACTCCGCGAATGTGCGCCCAGTAGTTCGCGACGGCATTCGTATACCAATGTTTCGTCGAGTGACGAGGTGAAGGCCGAGCACGATTGTGTAAATGCGGTATTAGATAAGACCACAGTAAAATAACACTACCCTTTGCTGATGCTGTTTTACTGTCGGTTTGTAAGGTTCCAAAGCTCAATCGGGTGAATCGGATCAGGGTAGGCAATAACGCGAGCGATAGATTTTTGAAATCATAAGCGTCTGTATAATAATATTACATAAAAAAAATGCATTGTCATTTGTAACAGAACTTATGGCTGGACTAGGTATTTCAGGAAAAGTAAACATAAAAAATAAAACTTTATTTATTTATTTATTTTATTTATACTTTATTGCAAAACAAACAGCAATTGGCGGACATAATGCCATAAGGCATTCTCTACCAGTCGACCAGTAAAAGCGTGAGAACTAAAAATACGGGGGTGCAATATGGACATATGCTAAATAAACCAGGTAGGTAATATATATATCAATAGAATACACAAATATTAAAATATATATACACTACATACATGTAAATATATATGCTATATCTACAATACATACATACACATAATTATGCCAGTCAAGTATGAGAACGCAGATTAATTATATTAAGATAATGCTCACGAACCAATCCCTTAAATACAAATTTGTTGCTTATAAATAACCGAGAGCCTATACTTAAAGGGAGATAAGACATAGCTTCAAGAGAGAGGACAGAGCGGATTTCCCGCTTGAATTGGAGCGCCTGTCTGGGAAGTAACCTCCACCTTAAGGAAGATCAGTAAAATTAAGACAACCTTTTCGTGGTTTTGTGTTTCTGTCGGTGTCAGGTTCCAGGGCTCCGCGGGGGGGGGGGGGGGGGGGGGGGGGGTAGAGGGAGCTCCCTAGTTTAGGGATTCTTCCGCTGGTGCGGAGACGCGGATGAATCCCTAAACGGGGATCCCGCGGTTTCGCACTAAGCAGCTTAGAGGGTATTCGCAGGGTTTTTTAGCGGATATTATGCCGTAAAGCAACCGTAAGAGTTACGGGGTCCTCAGTGGGCAGCCACTATGGGGGCTCTTAAGGTTTGCGGGAGCCAGGTGTGAGGTGCCTCTTAAAGGCGCCGTCGTCTGTAAACAGAGTGTTTGCCTGCATCACAAAAAAAAGGGCTCCGCGGGGTAGAATTGGGTCAGGGTAGATAATGGTGCGAGTGATATTTTTAGTATCGCAAGCGTTTTTAAGCTATGGTGGCCGCTTACAATCAGGCGGGCCATGCGCTTGTTTGTCACCCTTTTAACATAAAAAAAAAGTAGCTCCTACTTGCTAAAAACCAGTAATCTGCACAAATAACTATCTTTGTAATCGAGTAGTTAACAAATTAATGTTAAGATTAAATCACCAACCTTAAAAAAAACTACAAAATAAGTAGTCAAAATAAAGTATTTTTTCGCATTTATTGAATTCAAAATTGGCTTTCATTAAATTTATTACCAAACATTTGGTTTCCTTAAATTTATTACTAAAAATTTGGGTTTCATTGAATTTCCTTTTTAAGTCCCTCCCTATTCACTATAAGTGTGTATACAAAAAAAATATAAATAGGGCAAAATAATAAAAGGCCTGAAAAGTTGGTCAGCGATTCAGGCCAACTGATACATAAAAGGTCCCTCTTAACCTTGACAGCACAAAGCTGACGCCGGCGAGTGGAGTACTGTTCAGATATAAAGCCTCACATAATTGCCTATCCGGGCACGAGAGCGGACGGAAAACCAGACAGTGATAGGGATGAAACGATACGAGTAAATACAAGTAACTACTCGATACTTTTCTTTCGATACCAAGTACTTTTGGCATCGATACTTTAGAACTGAGTTACAAGTAATATCGTGAAGTAAGTACTTGTATCGGTACTCGGTCGGACACTCACTGAGAAGTATCAAAAAAACTCATAGGCAGCTTATTTACTCTATGGTAAGGTTTCTAGTAGGAATTTTTGTTTCGCGAAAGCATCTTTTCTACTGCTCAGTTGGCAGTCTTGCGTATGATTTTATATTTATTCCAATTTATTCAGTCAGCCATACGTTCATCGCGTGGCTAAAGCCGTTATTTTGTTTTCGTTAAATTACAGTAGAACCCGTTTAATACGATCACGATTAATACGATTTCTCGCATAATACGCCATTTGGCGTCAGTCCCTGCAACTTGAGACATGTTTTCATACATTTCTTAACGCTTAATACGATTCGTCATCCCGTTTAATACGCCTAAATCGCCAACACGTACCACACGTACCATTACCTCTTGAAGCAGCATAAAATTCAATGTGAATGTGAATAACACACAAGAAGAGGCCCTAAGTGATAACGATCAAGAAGAAGATGAGTCATCTCCGATTTTGTCGCACGCCCAGACATTATCAGCAGTACTTCTTAGAATCAAAGCGTAGACGCACGGCAAAAGTTAAATTACTCGTATGTTTAAAATCTTGTAATTGCTAATGCCTCAATCAAAATCTTTTTGACAAACTACAATAAATGATTAATTTAAATAACGTAATAATAATACACAATTTACACAGAATACGGAACATAAGACATACAGAATTCTTAAATATTGTACATTTTATACCTCAATACCTACATTAGAAATTTCCCTATCCAGTAATCCCGCATAACCCGCTTTCCCGCTTAAAACGCGTTTTTGGTTGTGTCCCTGTGAAATCGTCTTAAATGGGTTTTACTGTAAAACTGTGACTGAATTTGTAATTGTAATATTGTTCGTCAATATTTATCGGTAATAAGTAATATGTATCGGTTTATGTAAGTATCGATACTTTTCGATACCGAGTAGGCATCGATACTTTATTACCCGATGCACTATCGAGTAAAAGTATCGATACCTAGATGGTATCGTTTCATCCCTAGACAGAGAACAATCCAAAAATGTTTGTTATCGTGTTATTTTAATGAACGTTATTATTGTAGGGAGATGTACATTCCCGTTTGATCATCTATCAAAGTGAATTCAAATTATATTAATAGATTCAACAACTAAATGGCAAAGTAATATTTCTTTCTTCCAGTTACTTGTTCAAACGTTTGTTTACAAACGTGTTGAATGGTGAAAAAAATAGATAATTACTACATTTCACCGTTTTAATAATATTTTTTTCTTTTCGTTGCAGATCGCGAGTGTCCAGAACTGGAGCAACCGGAGATTGGCAAAATCACATTGACCGGAAGGCTGTTTGGCAACAAGTAAGTTGATAAATTAGGAACTCACTGGCGATTTTAGCAATGGCCTGTTCGTATGATGGATGACTCGAAATTTTGTAACCCGGCTGCATCTGCAATCGTTAGCACCCACCAAAGAGATTTATGGATACTTATATGCTTTGGCACCCACCACTACGTCTGCGTGGAAAAAAATGGCCTGTCTATTCCATCTTTATAGAACGCCTGTGCCCCAATGATAGTAATGATAAAATATTATGAATAGGCAGTTATAAGAAAAATAATTGATTTTATATTATTTTGATATACTTACAAAAACCTTCTTACTAATATTGTTAATTCGAAAGAAAATCTTTGTGTTACAATTTGAAAACGCCTGCAAATTTAAATTAGCAAATTAACATGAATTCACTTAAACTATGAATGAAGTTTATGAGTCGTACTATTCTACTATTAGAGGATAAGTTCAATGGCGCAGTCAGGGTTACTAGGTCTCCCGATTTTACAGGAGATCTCCAGTTTTTTATGGAATTTCTCCTATTCTACTGTTTTTCTACATGAATCTACTGTTTTTCTACATGAATCTACTGTTTTTCTTAGAATACGATTTTCTTTTGTTAAGTTGCGTTTTCCGCCATTAAGAATGTTGGTAACCTTAATTATAATAAAATAAATATGTTATTGAATAAAACTAGTTTTATCGGGTTAATGCACGAACTTTATTTAATGAGTGATGTGCGTGAAAACATAAGAAACAAACATTTTATTGTCTAAAAAAACAGCTTTGAGGGGCGGCAGAAGCCACAGAAACACATTCGTTACTGGCGTATATCTTGATTTGATTTACCAATTCTAGGGAAGAGGGGGGGGGGGGGGGGGGGAAATCGAAAAAAGGATGCCTCTGCATCACTGGGCGTAGTGGTCAGTGCGTTATGTCTGCGATTGTGTAAGTTAAGCGCCGGGTTTCCCAATGGGTTACACAATGAACAAAAACATATCAACCTTCAACACCGTCCACACAAAACTTTGTTTCACTTCACACATTACTTTGCATCAACAAAAGATTTTGCTATGCGAGCCCGATGAAAAACACGAATCTTACGAAAATTTTCCTATTGTTTTCAGGGCTGTATACTCATGTCCTCACGGATACCACGTTGTGGGTCTCCAGAGTCGTAACTGCCAAGCTGATGGCAAATGGGCGGGGCAGGCCCCAGCGTGTAAAGAAAACAGTGAGTCGAGTAAATTATCATAATTTTTTATAACATAGACTATTACCTGTCACATCAGTTATCTCCGCAGCCAAACACCACTTACACTTAAAATCTGAAAAGCTCTCCAAACAAAATAACACGCGTCTGATGATAGCTAGCAGTAGCTTTTGAGATGCTTGCACCACCAAGTATCACATAGACATCTTACTTACTTGTTACTTGTGCTAGGCCCCCATTTCCGCACGAAGACTCTCGATTTGATCTATTGTGCGTGCAGGGTTGTGGGACCAGCTAGTTCAGCCAGCCGAACTCCTTCCAGAAGCGCAGTACCTCCTGTGACACTCACAGGCTTCTAGGAGCCTCCTTAGTGACCCGAGGATAATTGCCCGTTGTTCTGCCACATTCGTGCATTCCAGGATTACATGAGCGGCTGTTTTATCTGCTACCAGACATCCTCTGCACAGAGACATCACAGACATTACCACCCAAGGGGGTCCGCAGTGTAATTGTATAAACTCAGTTGGGCTTGGCATGACCTAGTGAATTTATTCCAGTTTCGACGTACAGGATGCAGAAATTGTTTGATCAGGCAAGCAAGTCAATTAAGTGGACTAAGGACTTTGGTTGTTTCACCCTGAAACCCCTATAGATAGAGTAACACTTAATAAAAGTAGTATTTTCGAAGAAACATTCTATAAGATGTAGGTTATTTCCACATGACAAGAGCTTACTCTACTACTTACTTATAGACGACCTCCGTGGCCGAATGGTTTGTACGCCGGGTTTCATGGTGTCGCCGACTCGAGAGGTCCCGGGTTTGAATCCCGGTGGGGGCAGATGTTTGTGTGATGAATACGTGCATTTGTACTCCAGTCATGGATGTTTAATATGTATGTCTATATAAATATACTTATATAGGTACAGTATATGTATTCTATCCGTTACCCTTGTTATGGGTAACACAAGCCTAATAGTGCTTACTTTGGGGCTAGGCTAATTGGTGTGCGTGTTGGAAATATTTATTATTATTATTACACTTCTTTAAGAAAAAAAACAGGAGTAAAGAAGTGAAGATTATTCCAAATCAAAATATGTGACAACTACAACAAAGACAGTTTTGTTAGGATCGTTAAACGTTGGATATGAAATAAAATGAATGAATGAATGAAATGATGACATTTTAAAACAATTACAGAGAAACTACTTCTTATCTTCATAATTATAAATATTGGAGTAGAGTGTCGATTCTACCCTAAGGTCCATTTTCTTAACCATTTACGACAGTAAAAACAATATTCTCTTTTCCCTTACTAGTTAAGAGGAAAGAATATTTTATAAGTTTTCATAATTGGTTAAGAAAACCAGTTAGAAAAATGGACTAAAAGAATTCTCAAAAGAGTCAAAGTAATAATTGTGTTTCATTTGCTTTGTTTTTGAAACAGTTATTGTTACACAAATCCAAATCTTAGTCATTCATTGTCGTTACCTATATGCATCTGTAATTTAATTTTTCAGTATCAGAAACTGTCGCATAAAGCTCAATAGTATATTGAATCACTGTACAAGTTCTTACGTTAGCTTGGCAGAGTCGACACCCAAATGTAGGAACGTTATGGTCTGCTATCTCTAGTTCTAAGTCTGGTAGTTCATGAACTTTTTCAACTTCTCAGTCTACTGCCTGCAACCTCCGACGATAGAGCACGCACGCCACTCCGCTTTACCAGAGCAGGAGACATTCGACCTGGACGCCACCGTACAGTACAACTGCCATACTGGCTACGTCACCAACGGCTTCCCGAGGGCGAAATGCCTTGCCATCGACGGCCAAGCCTCGTGGTACGGTCCAGACATCAGCTGTGAGCGTAAGTATCCCAAAGTAATTTTGTAAATTAAAGGAATTAAGGCTTTTTGGGATCTAGTGTGCCTTGTTCCAAATGAAAATTGTAGTCACTCTGCCACAAAAATTGCTTGGAGCTCGTCGTTCCAAATGTGCAAAATTTTAGGTTAATCTTCTCTAGGCGAATATCTGATGACTTCTGCTTTTATGAATCAGACACAGGTCCATAATAATTTAAGAAATGTTTTTGTTTAACAAAGTTTACAATAACTTCCTGTTTAATTTTTCAATCATAAACACACGCACACACACACACAGTTTACCGTAACATACTCGTATGACCAACACCTCAAATCTTTTCTGTTGATTAGAATTAGTTTTTTTTCTGTTGATTAGAATTAGTTTTTTTCTGTTGATTAGAGTTAGTTTTTTTTAATTTAATTTTGAAATAGGTTACAGAATCTCCTTTCCCCTATTACAAGTCTGTATACATCATCAATTGCAATAAAACGAAATTTTTGAACACAGCTCGGTCCTGCGGCGAACCAGGCGATGTGCCCCACGGATGGGTGACCGCGGACTGCCACACCTTCGGTTGCCTGTGTGTGTGTGTGTGTGTGTTTAAACTGTGTGTGTTTACATACACGCAGTTAACCGTAACATGCTCGTATGACCAACACCTCAAATCTTTTCTGTTGATTAGAATTAGTTTTTTTAATTTAATCTTGAAATAAATAGGTTACAGAATCTCCTTTCTCCTATTACAAGTCTGTCTAAATCATCTATTGCAATAAAACGAAATTTTTGAACACAGCTCGGTCCTGCGGCGAACCAGGCGACGTGCCCCACGGATGGGTGACCGCGGACTGCCACACCTTCGGTTGCCGAGCAGTAGTTCAATGCGGGCAAGGGTTCGAGCTGGTCGGAAAAGCGGAGCGGTACTGCCAAGCAGACGGTGCGTGGGCCCCCAAGGAGCTCCCGACCTGCGTCCGTGAGTAACATTCGATTATGGCCGAAGATTTGATGATGAGTCTAAGAAAAAAATTACTTCCTCCCAACCATTTGAAAAGATAACCCCATAAGTTGAGTATACTAAAATTTTACTAAAAAAATGTTATTAACAACATTCCAATAATAATTACTGTTTAGTTCGAAGCTTAAGTAAATTTCCGTGTCTGCCAATAACATGACATCACAATCTTTAATCTAGATTTTTTGTTTTAACACTTATGACAATGACTCAAATTTTGACAATTAGCTTCGTCTGGCCCTACCACTAGTAAAAGCTGCTATTCTGATATTGAATAGTTCTATTTACAAAATAGAGAAGGACCAGGTGTAGTCTTCTTGACCTTACAGCAGAATACATTATTCTGGTTAATCCAAGTAGTGAGTAATATTGCTAGAGCTGAGTAAGATAGGGAATGAAAATTAAAGTAGGCTACAATGGAACTATTACCTTCTTTTTGAAACGATCCACCACACTTTAAAGCTCTTGATTTGAAAAAAGAACGATCAAGAGTGAAATCGTAGATGTCTACACGATACATGAAATCACTTAATTGTGGAAAACTCAAATGATTTTGATGGTGAATTAATGTTATAAACTATATAACGGTCGACATAATAATGTTCACACACTTAGACTCATCATCAAAACCCGATTGGAATTTCGAAATCTATGCAAACTTTGGCATTGCTTCGTGACAATGTAGTTGCTGATACGTGTCTTATCATTTGGAATGTGCATGGTTTATGACTTCTATGGATTTACAATAACTGTCTCCGTTGACATGACTAGATGGCATGTAAGCTTGGTATTGGCTATTATCATGGCTATCATATTGAGCAATATCATTGTCATGACGCAATTAGATGTATGGATCTCCCACTCGCTAAAAGTGTTGTTTGAGAAAAGAAAACCTCTTTTGGGTGTAAACTTTATTTCTTATCTTATTCCAAATCTTAAACATTTTTAAATAGTATTTCTTTTATAATGTTACTGTTTTCTATATTTTTAATAAGTTCTTATATTAGATTTTTGTTATTAACTACATGGTGGATAGTGGGATTTCCATTAATTAGATGTGTTATATAAAATGTTTAAAACATTTATTTTTCCTCTTTTCTGCTGCGAATAGAAGGAGGAGAGAAGGATACAGTTTGAATCATAACATTACGTAGTGTCTTAACGGTGTTTGTTACAATGTTTATTTGTTGTACTATACAATTCTATATAACTACGATTTTCCTAAATTTAGTACAAGTAAAAACATTTATGGCCATGATAAATTATGTCAAAATACCTTTACTGCCTATATAGCCAAATAAATAAAATACTTATATAGCTTTATGTATGTAGTTAATATATTAGGTATTCTCTAAGTAGTAAAAGCCTTTATTAATGTTGAACTTGCAAGAATTTATTGTAAAGAATTTCCTTATATTGTTTATCTTATACTTGCTGTAGCGAAATAAAGATAAAGAAGTGAAAATTCATTGTTTCATTTTCTGCATGTTTTCGTTTTATTTGCATGTTTGATGAAATACCTTTGAGTAAGCAACATTAAATCGTTGTCACTTTTACAAGATCGGTGTTATATAGTGTGTGAGAAATTTAGACCAGCGCCATCTGTGTGTCGATTTGAGAGTTACTTTAAAGCGACACGTGTCGCCATCTAGTGGTCACCCAGGTGCAGTGCCCCCCGCCAGAAGCACCGAGGCACGGGAAGGCGGTGTACACATCATGCGCATACAATTCGGTCGTCTCTTATGAGTGCAAGTATGGATATCGACTTGTGGGAGATGCGACGAGAAGATGCGGCGCTGATAAGAAATGGTCAGGAACACAACCAATATGTAAAGGTGAGTTCAGCTTCAAATTATAATCATCAACACTCAATTCGGATTCGGACCCTCTACCATTAATATTTAGAAAATTAAGCGAAATACTACCTAAATCATAAAGATCAACACTTAATTCGCACCCTTTCCCTGATATTATAAAGTTTTGAAATTTTCTGGCTTGCATTCCAAGACATGATAATTCATTTAAGTTCCCAGATATGGGTAAAAGGAATAGATAGGTTTAATATTTTGCCAAACCATAACTAAAATCTAAAGTTTCTTACGGATAGCGTGTTCTAGGGAACGCTAAGCCAGCTATCCTTATCTGGAACGCGCTCCTAACGCAGCTTAAAATTTTCGTGAAAGTTTTAAAAATTGTCTTTCTTGGTATTCACTGGAGAACTTGAATTTCTGAATTTTCTAATATTGTAGACTTAGTGATTGCTTCAAATCCATCATATATTGAACGGCTAATTATACTTCGCAGAAATTAATTGTGGCCATCCCGGACAACTCTGGAACGGGTGGCTGGAGAACATATCCTCGGGCACAGGGTTAGGAGCGTCGATAATCTTTAGATGCCAAGACGGTATGAAGATGGAAGGGAACGGCTCAGCTATATGCCAGAACGATGGCACTTGGAGTCACCCCTTGCCACAATGTTTAGGTTGGTAAATAACGTCAGTAATACTGTAATAAGATTTTTTAATCTATACATATTGAAAAAATGAACTCGCTTTCCTCGTCTGCATATCCGCTAACTCAATCTAAATCACGCAACAAATCCATATCTTTGTCATATAACCCAAGTGCTGTTTTCATAATCGTTTAGATAGTTTTTCACAGAAGTTTTCTAAGTACATATTTCACAAGCCCGAGAATAAAAACCATAGTGTAACACCAAATAAAAGCGAGAGCGGATTACTATAGGTGGACCGCTTAAATGAGTCCTCGCCTGCGGGGTACAGGGTATGGGGGACGAAAACGGGGACCGTGAGAGATGCGGGCGGCGGACGCTTGTAATTTCGATAAGAATGTACCTACCGCCCGCACCTCTCACGGTCCCGTCCCGTTCTCGTCCTCCCACACACCCTGTACCCCGCATGCGAAGTCTCAGTTAAGCGGTTAACCTATAATTGATAGTAATTTTCGAATAACACAAAGAGGGTATTGTTATCCATACTTGCATTCGTTTTGATCATTTCTTTAACAATGATTGTAATATCTTCTATTCCAACATTAACTTCTTTTCTTTCTCCGTGTAGTTTATTATTTATTTCTTTTTGTGTTGCTTGCATTAATATCTGATTGAAATTACAGCACCGTGTGTGGTACCCCATGTATCGCAAGGGCGAGTAGTATTAGTGGAAAACAAAACTGGCGAAAATTACACGCAAGAAGGGAATACTCAAATCGTCGGTAGTTCATCAATGGTACAACATGGTGAGTAATTACAATCACTGCCAAATTATATCGTTACTTCATTTTGTCACGGAAAACTTGTTTAGCTATTTATCTTAGTGCTATTGTGAAATAAAAAGTCTTGGTTTAACTCTTTTACATACTCCATTAGTATTTCCCTGGCACATGTTCAAGAAATGCTTCAGCTGTGATAACACAAGCGGTTTAAACTACAACAAAAACATTTTTTTAAGCTTCAATAAAATGTCTTTATTCTTAGGTGAGATCATAGTGGTGGATTGCGAAAAGAACTATGAGTTTCCATCCAATAATGCTGCAGTCACATGCAATAACGGGACGTGGACACAGATACCTAGATGCCAACCGGCAAGGTAAAGTGATTACACAGTGCTTTCGATAGTGCATTAAAAACTAATCATTTTCAATATGACATGCATTCATTAATTACATGACGAACCTCCTGACCTACCTATTGTTAGCTAACACGATTTAAGTTTTGGTTTTAGTAAAAACACTTCTTTATTAAGATCATGCATGCATAATAAAGTCATAAGTTGAAATACATGATGTATGTGAATAAAATACTATCCTTCACTTTTCGTTAGATGCAAGAAAATGCCAAGAAACCCACGAAACGGTATGGTCCTGGCCCCTAAAACGGAACACGGGATGAAAGCACGCTTCAGATGTAAAGATGGATTTGAGCTGAGAGGCAATCCTATTGTTGTCTGCTCGTTTGGCAATTGGAGTGGAGAAGCCCCGAAATGTGAAGAAGGTAACTTATCGTCTTCAAGAGGAAAACCATGACGTTTTTTATTTATTTTGATTGTGTTTTTATAATCACAATTTTACAACATAATATTACCCAATGTATTTGCTAGCATTTCATTTTTTGAATGCTATCCGGTGTAGTAATTTTTTATTATACAATTTTTGTTTCAGTATTTTGCCCTTTCCCCGGTTACATCGAAAACGGTAAAGTTCTTCTAGTTGGTAATATGGGGCTATATGATTATCGACCGTATGTTAAAAAGGTATAAGCACGTTAAGTACTATTTCATTCCATTCATTCCAGATAACATAAAAAAGAAGTAAAAAAAGGTTCTTCTACAGGTGCACATTTTCAATTCATTTCGTAATAAATTTTTAATTACGCTTTTGTAAATTTATGCGTGAAATATACAAGCACAGCCATTTAAACAATTACCTACAAAAAAAACTATTTATATTATAATAAGAATCGTTTGGAAATTCAAATATTATTACATGATTACCATAAATAATAAAATAGCTCTGTTGAAAATCCCAAAGAAGCAGAGGTTTGCAACCTGCATTAAAACGTTTAAGCATAATGCGACCAAACTAAAAATAAGGATGTTCGATGATGAAACAGTTAGTGAAATTATGACGTTTAGATTTTATTCGATGGATCATCGTGTCGCTTGTCATCAAGTAAGGAACGCGCCTTACTTGAAAATATTGACATTCTCTTTATTTTTGTGTCTGTCTTACGATACGTTGTAATTGTTTTGAATTATAAAATGAGTGATGTGGGTGCAGGCACTAGTGACCCTCAAGCCATTCAACAGAACCCGCGTCGAAGTCTTGGTCCAAATCCTAATGAAGCGCTGTTGCTATTATCATCTAAAAAAAAGACCAAAACAAAGTCCTCTTCGCGCATTAGACAAAAATGTTAAGAAATATATGAAAGAAACTTAGCCAAAGGGTTCAGCATTATAGAAAAGTGAAATTTCACAAAAAAACAGCGAAAGCCACATGGTACATTTTACCAAATGATTAATTTACCTCAATATGTATTACGTCTGTGTCATTATGTATTTCAGTCTATACTAAGAAAGAAAGAAGAAGATAGATTTTGGCAGTTGGATAATGTCATCTATAATATGGTGGAGCAATTTGTGATTAATATAGGGCAATCGTCATCGCCTTCTGTGTCTTCATCTGGTGAAGAGAGTGATTAATTTAAAATTAATCTACATTTAATTGAATAATTAAACATTAATATTTAGCGTAAGGAAATAATAATGAAAAAATAATATTTTTATTATGTTATATAATTTGACCCAGTTTCAATACTTGCAGAAAGTCACACAAATATATAATAATAAATAAATAACATTACACTCCAGAGTATCAGGTAACATATAATATAGGTAATTAATATCAAAATATGATTATCATATTTCATCATTACGACATGAAAAGGTTTCGAAACCCTGGTTCTATCAGCTTATTTTTTTAATGTTATCTGGAATGAAATATAGTAGATAACAAAATAATGTTGCTTATGAAATGTAAAAAAATTTTTTTAGGTGGTTAACAATAAACAAATCATGTATGAATGTGAAAAAGGCTACGTTCTTTCTGAAGGGCCACCAGGAGCCACATGTATAGGTGGTCATTGGAGCCCCAGAGAGCTACCCAAGTAAGTAATCAGTATCCGTGAATGAAAATTACAATTCTTTATGTAACGCAAAAGCCTCACGATCACGAGATTAGAAAGGAACTGAATGTAATTATGTTTTAAAATTTCAGATGTACTCTATACCAACATCCACGTATAAGGTGGAGTCGTCGGAGGCGATCCATTCCAGAACCCGAAATCCGTCATAGAAGGTCTGCTTATCTCCGCCAATACTATACAAACCTACGTCGAAGACCCGATCCTACACAACAATACCTAGATCAACTTTACGAAAAATATAATCATGATACTCAAAAGCCAACTTTGAGGCATGCTAATTTCAAACTCATGAAGAAATATGATACCGATTTAGAAGACGATTTATCTACTGGAACTGATGATAATGCTGACGGTGAAAATTATCCGACTGCTGTTTACACAGTCTATAATGTTCACGGTGAACCTATTGGTCATAGATTATATTCTTACCAACCAGTATACGAACCAGAGGAAGATGAAATTGTGGAGAGTGCTAATAGTTCAGAATATGAAGATTCTGAAGAACTGGGCGATCTGTCCCACTTAACGATTTTAAAAGGTGGCCTTTTTCCAGATAATAGAATAGGAAATAAAAATGCTCCAAGCATTAATAAACTAAAACATGAGTATTTTGAAAGATACGTAGACAAGAGAAGAAAGAGATTTTCAAATCTTAAAACTGCTAATGAGTCGAAAACGGAACTTGATTTAGAATTAGAAGCTGATAGCACTATGCGACTTACTACAAGTACAACAGAAACGCCTAAAAAGAGGTTCAGACGATATATAAACACTGAAGAGTCCGACAGAGACGTGTGGACCTTAAGACCAACTTTAAAGAAAACTGCATCAACTAATGATGTTACAACGGATAATCTTAAAGTTATTCCATTAGGTTCAAATGCTAATGATGAAATACTTATTAACCAACATAGTTTCAGTAGAGAAATGGAAGTAATTCCATTACAGTACAACAACACAAATTCTACTGAAGTTGATAACATTATTGATAAACGTGATAAGAGAACAAGTAGAAAAACAGATAGACTAAACCAAACAACAGCTACTGTACCTAAAACGTAAGAAATGCTGTAAGCTATTTTTAATTTAAACTTTTATAATTTAAGCTGTTTGTACTACAATAAATTGAAGTCTGTTTATATTAAGACATCTTACCTCATTTTAACTTTTCCGTTGCTTTCAGAGTTCGTGAAAATAAAGGCAGACTACGTAAAAGTCAATCAGAATCGAGTGAGGACGACCGAAGCACTGAGTTGAAAGACACAGTAGATGGCAGTAAAGAAGGTAATCAAACTGAAAAGGGAAAGAAAGGACGACCTAAGAGCCCTTGTGAGCCAATAGAGAGCGAACCTTATATAAACGTTGAAATTGTTAAATATGGACGGGATCCAAACAACACTTTTAGTTCAGGTATGTGAAAGACTGGATGAAGCGTGGGAGAGAATAATAAGCTGATGTTTGATTGAATTGATGAAAAACAAAATAAATTGGTAAAATTGTTTATTACAGGAACAATAGTGCGAGTAGCTTGTGGAAAGGGTTATGGACTTAACTTGGAACCAAATACAACTGCGAAATGCGTCCGAGGCAGATGGAAACCAGAAAAACCAAAATGTGAAATACGTGAGTTATAATTACATTTAGACTGCTTGCAAGAACTTATTATTTTGTCTATATGAGAGGTCGATATGCAGTCTCTACCCGGAATGACTGGTTTATCCTAGTTTTAACCAAAGCCTTCAGATAAACCCCGAAATATATTCTAATTTCGGCCTGTGTCTAGGTCAAACCAAGAAGTTCATAACTTTTCAGTCAAACATCAAAAGTAAAATATCTATTTCGGGCTTTGCCTAGTCGGTCATAGAAGTCACTGACAGACTCGGTCAAACGTAGACTGTATTTGTAACATGTTTAAAGAAGTTTATACTTGCGGTGTTCCACAAATAAGTTAATATACTATCTGATAAATTATTTTATAAAAAATAACTGTAACTTGATCTATTCCTAGCTTTGTTTGTTTTATTAAATACTAAAACGTCACAATTCACAACATTTACCTCTTTATATAATATACCCCGGGAAATATCATCGGCCCACCTACCATTTTAAGTTTTGGCCTAATTGGAAAATAAATGTTATATTGAGCAAAAAGTTTTTACGCAGTTTTGAAGCTTCTTTATGAACCATCTTTTCGTGTGTTTTTAAAAATGTATTGTTATTGCTCAAATTATATTTTTGCTACAGATCGTTGAAACTTATAATACTAAGCAGGACAGATACCTGTGTCCAGAAATTTAGTATAGATTTGACGCTTTGTACAATTTTATTTGTTGCTAAAATTCATTTCAAGATCAAGAAAAAATAAAAAAAAAACTATAGCACTGTAGTTTCTTGTATTTTTCTATAAATGAAAAAACCTTTTCAGAACCATGTCATGTACCTGCGACTGAGTATGGTATCTATACGATGCCATCAGATCCTGGACACCTGATGACAGCCAGCCAAGTGCTGGGAACCCCTAGCATAGGTCACGGGGATGAGAAAGAACTGAACGAAACAGACCCCATACCTAATGGGCAAGTCATACATTTCTCGTGCGAATATGGGTAAGCATTATTGTGCAGAAATTTAACTATAAAAGTGTGTCAATATTAAAAAATCATTTATTGACCGGTTACTTATTGTAACAATTGAAGTATGTCTAAAGCTAAAATCTAAAAAATCCATTACGTCAGACATATGTAAAATCGCCAAAGTATTGGGATTATTTCTGATGCTCTAGGAATAGTGGTGTTCTATGTCCATTATGCATAAATGCAATGCATAGTGCCTTGAGTCCCGAGTAAACAGTTAAAATTGTAAACTCGAATTGAGACGAATACTATAATGCTTGGTTTTAGACGACTATTCTTTTTCAGGTACAATGTACAAGGTCCAACAAATCTACGATGTTGGCTTGGAGAATGGGCTGTAACAAGTATGCCTGAATGTGTAGCAGGTTTGTTACATTATATTTACGATTTTGCTTGTATTTTTTTCAGTGGCGTAGTTTTTTTATCTTGGCACCTCAGTAATGAACTGAAAATAAACTTTATTCAAGTTGATTTATTAAAAGCTCTTTTGGATTGTCCTTATTTTTTTCTTACCATCTGTTCACTACATCTTCAAGCTGACCAGAAGAACAAGCCAAAGAAATTGTTTAGCTTTTTATAAAGTAGCGACGTTTACATATCAATGTGTCGTTACTGGTACAATTATAATTAATTACATTCTTTATGGATTACAAAGATCAATAATATTTAATATTGCATTGTGATAACTTTAAAGAGCAAAGTATGAGAATAAATGAGCTATTCCTAGACATTACGATCGTTTAAATAATCTTGGACTTGACAGTATCTTTTACTCATTAGTGTTTTTACGCGAGTTTTAAATTTATGCATAAGAAGATCGGTAACAATAGGAGGCAATTAATTATAAAAGCTATGTGATGGAAACTGCTTGGTGATCATACTCTTTACTTTGTATTTTATACTTTACTTTCTTTGATTGATGTCAAGTTCATTTAAAATTAGTGTCTGCAAAATAAAGAACAATTATACATATATTAAAATATTATATCTGGTTTTACTGCAAATACGTGTTTTCATCAACAGTCCACGTATGTTAGTTATCATAAACGACCAAAATGTTTTAATATACAATTGTTCGTGATCTTGCAGACACTAACTTTAAATGAGCTAGACACTTTGCATTTCCCCAATAATGCGCTTTGTGTTTTTCTTAATCTAAACATTAGAACAGCAAGTTCATGTTTGTTTCTAGTATTGAATATCATATGCTTAATTGAATTATTGTAATATTTATGTATGTACATAAATCACGTATTTATTGATGTATTGTCCAGACATTATGTGGATGATTTCTATAAACATATCCCTAAGGGAATCCCTAGACTGTAAGTTGATATCTAACTGCTCGTTTTGTAATACAAAAATTGATTTTTTAACAGCTGACTGACAGCAGGCCATTAGACATTTGTGAAAATAACTAAAGTAGATTAATCTTGCGGCTTTTTTTTAACAGGGTAGGCTGTTGAGCTTTGTCTACTGGATAGGTCATCAATATGAGTATCCCATTGCAATCTCGATGTGTGCTCCTCCTGTCCTCCTTATGTTTCAATGTATTTGGGCGTAAATCATTCTTTCCTTCCTTTGGCACGCCGCACAAGCCTTTCAACTAGCTGTTGAGAAACTAGCAAATTCAATTCACTTCCCGCTAAGATTATACGTGACAATGTTTTAATGTATTTGGGCGTAAATCACACTTCCTTTTATCCAGCACCATGCGAACTACCCTTGCTTCATGGGGCGACATACGAGGCAGGGTACAGGGCAGGCTTGACAGTTGCACACGCGTCCTCTGTCAATATAGCATGTGAAGCTGGCAGATCTCCACCTGCCACTCTCAACTGTCACCTGGGGAGACTGCAGCCTACAGTACATGATTTCTGCAGACCACTAGGTAACTAGATATCTTATTCTCTATATGACTAAGTACTTAATGCTTTCCGACTGTTATAAAATAACTATGATGGAACTGCAAATCAACAGAAGAATTCTAACTGTTCATTAATGATGTGAGATATCCATAAACATTTCAATTATTTAGGGTATTTCTTCTTACAGCTTAGATCTCATCAATACTGAGTGTATAATATTATAGTTATTGTAATTAACAAGTTTGATGTTTAACCGTAACAATTATAGATTCTAGACTCGTATTTTAATATCATATAACATGAGTTTTTTTGATTTCCGACTCCGGAATGTTTTATATTTAAAACTTTTTGATCCGTTTCAATAAAGAAAACGTACTCCATGTCTTAATCAAAAATCAACTCTTAATACTAGTTAAAAGGACTTTGAAGCTAAAGTTCAAATAATTTGAAACGTTTGCAGCTAATTTGTCAAGACCACGACCGACATCGGAATATCAAAGTGGCTCCGATATTGTTCGCGAAGACATATCGGAACTGGAGCCCGACATAGATGGAAAAACTGTGACGGATTGTGGGCCTCCTGCTAGGTAATACCAGTTTCTAATTTTATTCCACTTAAATAAATATCCAGTACTGTTTCAGAATACTTAAAAATCAAACAACTTATAATTGGTCCGCTAACTTCTTAAATATTATGGTAAAGAAAACTGTTCTTATTTAAAGAAATACAATCGTTCTACATCGGTATGAAAGTTTGAACTACTACTATTCAGGAAGTTAGTGTATGTCAATTTTATCAATGCGCTTTCATTGTAGCTTTTGTGTGTTCTTTTTTAACATTAAAAACATCTCATTCAGAGATTACATCATGGCATCAGGGACATGTGTCTGGACTATTAATGGTCATAACTTTTCTGGTGTCATTAAAAATTCTACTTTAGCATTTTGAAATCACGACATGGAATTTGGAGACACTAGGAAAGTAACTGATATGCTTTGAACGCATTATTTTGATTTTTGTTGTTTTTGGTGTTTATTTTGCTATTGTGTCCGTGTATTGTAAGCATTGAGGGCAAGTTGAATTCAATTTTTGGTGGTAACGATATGTGATTGAATGCAATTTGCTTATAATCCTACATGCTGTCATCCTTCTAGAGGATGATCTAAGGCGTGACAAAAAATAATGTTTTTGCAAAGAGTCTGCATTTCTTATTTGCTGGCTGGATAGACTGAAGGGAACGCAGGCGTTTAGGGATGCGAAGCCTTGGTGAGAGCCTTATAGGTTCGAAATTTTGCTTAATTAATCTCTTCATCATCATCAACTTCAATAGTTTCACTGTCACTATGACCACCAACTTGTTTGGTTACATCATCTACCGACTCTCTTTTCAGATACTTTTTATTTATCGTATCTTGTTAAATAAACTTTTTATTGCTCATCATAGGAAGGTCAAATCCTCGGAAAGCAGGGCTTAGATGATTATAGGATATAAAGAAAGTTTTTATGTAAGACTGGTTGAGTCAGCTGTTTGTATGGCCGTGTAATTGGCTTCTTTTTGTCTTGGCCAAGCTTAGTTTTTGTTGCATAAATAATTGGTTTAACGATTTTCTTGGTGTCTAGTGCATGCTATCGTCGAGTGTCTAACTTACTTTCATGTATTATCTATTTTTATCATAGTTTCGTTTCTGAAATTAATAATGACATTTATGGAGATTCCCATCACCAAAAGAAGAATCGTAAGGGGTATATAAATAAAGTGGGTCACAAATAAGTGCTGATAAAAAATTTAACTTCTAAAAGTACCTACAAGGATATGGTATACTTTTGTCATATTTCTTTAATATTTCTTTTTATTCCTCTTTCAAAACTATAACATAATAAATAAGCGATGACACAAACTATACCTAAAATGCTTTGATAGGGTTCAAGGCACTCTCATATACCGCGATGGAGCCGAAGTGAATGGAACCCTTGGGGTGGAAGGGTACCCTCATGGTACTGAGATCACCTTCAGCTGCATAGCGTCCATAATGGGTGAGAAGACCACGTGGAAACTGATCTGTGAACATGGAGATTGGGTCGGCAAGAGTTTCAACTGCGGTAAGTTAGATTTTGCTAAGATTTAAGGTCGAAATGGAGTTGTGCATACATCTTTAATAATTCTTCTATGTACTTAGTATATGTAATAGATGGTTGGTGAGGCAGTTTATTGCTGCAGTACCAGCTATCTTCGCGTTTAGACTTTATCACCACTTAACATCAGGTGGAGTATAGTCATTTGCCTACCTTGCTATAGAAAAAAATAAAAATAATTTTAATATTACCATCTGTTGTTTAAAATTTGATTAACATATTTTGAACATAGCAATAAGAGCGATATTCACAGAACAAAAGTATCCATTATGGTAGCTACGACTACTGCAGTACTTCCACAAAAATGACATTAACATGAATATAAGTTGCAATTTTTTGTTTCTTCTACACAAATACATTTGAAATACACAATGCACATTCAATGTACATAAGCATGCCTGTTCGTTTGTGCTTCGGAAAAACCTTTTCCTTCTGTCTCCCTTTTTCTCTTAGAAAACTAATGTTCTTTCATAACAACTATTTTTCTTCCTTAATACCAGTAATTTGGACGTTTTGCTTATGTTGTGCAACTTGTTAATTTACATAAACATCTTCGGTTTTGTTTACTCTTCTTTCCTGACCTTAAAATGGAGAAACAATTAAAATAAAACAAGCTACAACTGAAATCCATAAAGTTTTGTTTATATTTTTGTTTGCAGAAGAATTGGAGGCGCAGAGCGAGGAGCTGTTGAACAACAATAGTTGCACTTTTAGGAATGAAGAACCTCATGTGGTATCGTTTTTCAACGACTTAGAGATTACCGAGACAGTGGACTTCCCAGCGGGAACTGTTATAGTATCCAGGTAAACCATAAAAGCCACTTTTATTTCCGAACTACGACAGCATCATCATCATATAAAATTGATATGACCAAAGCTGGGACATAGGCCTTCGCTATGCACGAAAGAACACCTCACTGGAGAAATGCGGATTGGTAGATGCTAACGACTGCAGAGGCGGGACCAACGGCTTAACGTTTGTTCTGAAGCACAAAGGAACTAAAGATAGTTATTTTTATGATCAAGTAGCTTAAACGACCGCTTGGTGATCCAGACGTCGAATAGTTTGAGATATTTTTAATAGTAGTTTGAGAAATATGGGTCAGTAATGTGCTCAGATCCCACTAACTGCCAGAATCTATAATTTGGCATGATTTAGTCGCGCGAATCAAGTGATCCGATTGAGCCTGGATATAACTATTCTCAGATAAAACAATTTATCTGATTGTAAGTGTTACTTAATTTTGCTTCTGATTTTCATTATATAAGTTCTTCAGTTACTTCTTTAGAATCAAAGCGATGACAGCTATTACATATATGCACGGATATTACGTCAATTTAATGTTCAGCCGACTTTAATGAATTCAGATTAGTTATCAAAGGCATTATGAATCTTATTCACAGATGCAGTGACATTGGGAAGTACGCGATGACTGGCTCACAAGCTCGTAAGTGCATCGGCGGATCGTGGGATGGTGCTAAGCCAACCTGTTTCGGACTAAACCAGGAGAACGATTATGCCAGTAAGTATCTAATCGGTAATAATCATAAAGTTGTGTATATTTTCTAGTATAGTCTTCTTTTTCTTCTCTACCAAATATTGATATATTGCTGCAACCCAATTTTAATTTTAATATCATCATCACACATCTATTAACGTCTCACTACTTGAATACAAGCAGTGTCTGTGATTTTAACTAGTAATCATGAGTATTTTTAGATGTCGATTTCTACTTCTTCAAAGTATGAGAATCATGTCGCTACCAATACAACGTGTATTGGTAGCGACATGATTTAATGTTAATATTGCTACATCTGTTAAATGCTGATGAGATCCTGCGCCCATTCTTCTCATTAGCTAAAAGATATCCTGAATGGGTGGTAGTAATTATATTGAACTATCTATTTCAGAGCTTTCAATAATTTAATTTCAATCAAGTATAATTTCATTTCATTTCAATGTATTCGCCCCAGTAGCATAAGGTGCTGGTTCGATTCTGATGAGTTCGATTATTTCTAAGTTATCTTTTCTTTCTGATAACCTTTTTAATTTCATGTGCTCACCTCCATATAAATATTATTAACAAACTCACTGTGTTCCCGGTCTCTCGAATATGACCAATGAGTGTTCCAAGCACGCGTAAACTTCCTGTGCCTTGTCCCCAGTGGAGAAGCCGCCCACGATCCTGTTCCGGCACTCGCAGGGCCCCATAGCACAGACCAACGACGGAAAACTGTTAGTCTACCCGGGAACAGTGCTCCATATGGAGTGCTTATGGATGCGACGATTCGGAAACCCAAAGTGGAACGTGACGCATTATGTTCCATCCGAGTGAGTGTTCTTTTATTTAAAACTCTTACCAGATAAAATAAACTTCAAAGGGTATTAGTGCGTTTTTTTTTATTTATTCTTCTTTACTTTAATTTTTTTTAGAAGATGTTGAATATTTATGAATCCGAGTTCGTTTCGTTAGAAATACCCCAAAGTTTTAATAAATTTAAGGCAGCAGCCGAAGATTTTATTATTTTTTAATGATTTCGAAATTTCTTCATCATTCATCCATACAATACCCACTACTGAGTGTAGGTCTCCCACAAAGATCTCCACGCTGATCGGTCTTGAGCAGTTCGTATCCAGCGACTTCATGCAACTTTTAATTACCATCAAGTCATATTATCAAAGTTCTAAACTCTTCCAATATTTTATTCACATTTCGTCGTATTTTTGATCTACAGTCCTGAGCGCAAGTATCCGGAAGGTTGGACCACAGATCCCGGGCGAGACAGCCAATTGGAATACCGGCTCAGCATAATGGGCGCTGAAAAGGAGGACTCTGGTATATACGGCTGTGAAACGCCAGCAAGACAGATCCACCAGGTCGAAATTATCGTAGAAGGTAAAAAGCCTGTTAAGCTCGGTTCATCGGTTCAATTTTCAAAATCAACCAATTTTTTTAGTCGTTCTACACGGTCGGGTGGTTGACTCAACTTGTCAGTTCTCTCCGGCATTCAAAGCGCAATGCATATGCTCAACCTTTTTTTATTTGCGGCGATGTTTACCTCAGGATCAATTTCCTTAAGTTTATCCTTCAAAAGCTCCCATGTATGCGTTTTTTGATATTTTTCTTTGTATGTTTCTGATCCAATGTCGAACACATAGCAAGTCAGTGTACATTGGTATAAAATCGATCAGGACCTCTCGTTCGCGGTTTCCATTTTCCGAATCCATTGCTTACATGAGTGACGTGTGCCGGCGACGACAGACAAGCGCTTACTGAATCGCTCGCGTGGGAAATATTTAAAAAAAAATATTTAATGAAAAAAAATATTAAAACCAAATATTGGTCGGTCAACCGTTTTCTACACTATCCATTTTTACTTCAACCCGACCAAGGCGACGATGGTCGGTGGTTGGGCCCGATCGTGTAGAAGGCTTTTAATTATTTGACAACAGCATAATCTGATTCAGCCCCGTCACTCGCTTTTCGCTTGCCTAAACGAAGCGGGCGCTCGTGGCGCCTTGTTTTTAGCGTTTCATACTTAAATGACAACATGACAACCGAATCCAGCTACTGTAAGTAAAGTATCACAGTAGTTGGATTAATTTTCCGGTACATGGTATCCATAATTTTTTGAAAGAATATTAAGTAGTTCTACTATAACGATTCAAAAAATAACAAAAAAATACTAAAATCAAAGAGAGTCCTAAACAAGAAACTTTATTTGTATAACCTTATGTTGAATCTCTTAGTGGGTGGGTTCAACTGGCACTTGGCCAGGATTTTTATGATCTTCCCTAAATACCTTTAATCATGAATGCTGAAATATTATCTAAGTATCCTTTTGCCGAAAGTCGTAAGTTATATAAGAGCAGTTTGTACTTAAACAACTATTGATCCTTCTACAGCAATATTTAGGGAATTAATACCGGCAGCACGAGAAGCGGCGGCGCGGGGGCAGAATGAAAATTAGGCATTAATAGTTAATGGGCCCAATTCGATTGATTCTTTAAACTTAATAGTAATACCGAAATTGGAAATCAGTCTCTCTTTTCCATTATCAGTAAAACATGATAAGGATATTACTACTGTCAAAAGAACTCGTGTCTATTCTATCCGTACTATCCTAGTACCCCATAACACAAGCCTTACAGTGCTTACTTTGGGGCTAGGCCAATTGGTATGGTTGTTAGAAATATTTATTGTTTTGATAAGTTTGGAGAATCACGTCAGAAGCAAGCCCAATACAAAGTGTTTTTTTTTTTCAACAGACGTACATTGCCCCCCTCTGCCCATTCGGCGAGGACTGGTGGCCAACGGGCTGGGCACCAGATTAGGCACGGAGATCAGGTTCTCGTGTGCCAATGGGAACGCGCTGCTTGGCGCCCATACGCTTATTTGCAGAGCCTCTGGGAATTGGTCCGCACCACTACCCGTTTGCGAGAGTAAGTATCTACTTGGTTGTGTCAGAATCTTGTTGACTAAACATCACCTGAAGCTGCTCTTGATAAGCAAGCCCAATCTGGAATTTGTAGTGTTGATGAATTTCATAGAATCGCACTTTTTTCTTCTTATAAAAAACCGTATAACTATGATTGAAATTAACCACATAAAAATAAAACCGTTAAATTATTCTAAATTTTAATCAATCATAATAACTTAAATCAAAAACATCTTTTGGGTAAAATTTAGCTTCGGCGTAAGCGCCAATTCCGATTCAGCGTTGACTACAAATGTTATTGATTTTTACTTTTCACAATGGGTGGGATAATTTGACCAGCTTTTTCTACAATTTTTGCTGGCTTTGACCTCGGTATCAACATTTGTTTTTGCTTATTCGTCGATGTTTTTTTTTATGTTATAGGGGGCATACGAGCAGACGGCTCACCTGATGGTAAGTGATCACCGTCACCCATGGACACTTGCAACACCAGGAGTATCACAAATGCGATTCCGGCCTTTAAGGAAGGAGTACGCTCTTTTTTTGAAGGTTTTTGGGTCGTATCGGTCCGGAAACACTGCTGGCGACAACATATTCCACAGTTTTGTCGTACGTGGTAAAAAATTTCGACAAAAACGCACGGTTTTGGATAGCCACGCATCAAGATGATGGGGATGATATTTTTGTCGCGATGTACGAATTGTACGATGACGAAATGCAGCAGCTGGAATTAATCCGAACAATTCCTCAGAACACTCCCCGTGATAAATGCGATAGAAGATGCAGAGCGAAGCTACATCCCTTCGAAATAATATGTTATGAAATAAGGATTAATGACTCTACTCCACATTGTCCAAACGGAAACTGCGACGTACCTCGTCTACGTCTTCTTCTGCCCCGCCGAATTTATATTGACACATAAATTATTCTATTCCACGTTGTCCAGACATAAATTGTATCATTAATAAAGAGTAAAATGCACAGATTTCTCTATGATTTTTGTTGACTACCTCAGTTTCTAAGGTTGTTTTTTGCATTTTTCATCGATCTTTTAAGATACGGATAAATAGTTCTATCTCACGTTGTTTAGGCGTCAGGCGCGTGCGAACGAAAACCCCATGTTGCCGTAGTGTTTCGTTTCTCTCCGATGTTATATTGACACATAACTAATTCTACTCCACATTGTACAGGCGTAGAGTGCGGCGAGGTGATCCACGATACACCTCTAGGCGCGGGTGAACGAAGACCCCGTGTGGCCGTAGTGTCTCGAGGGGTTGGAGGGCGCGCCGCCTTCTCCTGTCCCGCGGGGTGGGCTCTCCGGGGCGCCTCCGAGACAGTTTGCCTACCCGCCGCTGATTGGGCGAGACCCTTCCCCGTTTGCACAGGTAAACTAAAACTCCAACAGAAAAAAATGATGTGAAATCTATTCATGCATGTGAGAGTGGATGTTAAGTGGGGAACCTCAATGATTTCAGGCTTGTGCAGTGCGCTTATAAGTTAACAGAATCACAATGACCAATACTTATCAGCAGATCTTATTATTTCGAGCTCTTGCGTGCTTCGGAAGGCACGTGAAGCCGTTCGTCCCGGCTGCATCTTTAGTCGTTAGCACCCACCAGTACAAACTGGGCCGGCTGATGACGATGATGATGAATATGCCTATACATCGTTATTCGACATAGTGAGAGATTTGTTGGATTAGTCAAGATGAGTGATTAAAACCACTACTAATTTATTGCTTAACTTTCTCAATAGTCTCGAATTTTACGATCCTGATACCATTGTCGTTAACGATACCTTACATCGAGTGATTTTGCTGCTGGCTTTGAGATCGGTTCGGGATAACTTCAATATATATGTTTTTGCAATACTTCATGTGTTTTTCAAAACCTGGAGATTTACCATGAATGAGCCTCATCATTCATGCTGCATCAACCCCGCAAGGGAACGATTTAAAAAGAGACCTTCAGCTATGTCCTATATTCCTCACAAACTAACTACTCGTAACTCCCATCCACAGAAGTGTCGTGCCCAGCTCTCCCTCCGCCCGCGTCGGGCTACGTACTCGGTCGAGCGCCGTACAGAGCCGGAGATGTACTGCAGTTCCATTGCAACCCGGAGCATACGCTACACGGCAGGCCGATCCTCGTGTGCCAGGATAGTGGCCGGTGGAGTGACAAAGCTCCCACATGTTAGTACTTGGAATAACAATAGTAGAACATTAAGGTCGACTAAAGGTCCTGGAGCTTTTCTCTCTGTCTCCGAAACGAAATTACGGTAACGAACGAATTTTAAACGATATTTCGCCATTGACTCTACTCTATTTCATTTTCGAACAGGCACATAAAGTTCGGAACCACAAACAGATTTCGTGAACGAATGGAATGAGTCATGTTTGTGAGTTCTTTTTATCTCTACTTTTAAGATTACGCTTTTTTACTTGGAAACAATATGGGTAGTTTACGGCAAAGTTTTTGATGGCATTAAAAGAACCTTCTTTGATAGTGTTAGCCGACTAATTTGTAGAGTTGATACAATCTATTGTATGTCAACCTAAATTTGTCGTTTAATACTTTGAAGTATTGGAATTACAATAAATAATAAAAAAATAGATTATTTGTTTATTTTACATGATAAAAATGTTTCTCGAGCTAAGCAGCCTTGATTAAAAATTCTCTTGCAAGCATTTTAGGCTTAATTAAAACAAAAATCTCGAAACGAAAATGAAAAGGTAACACTTTTCATTTCGTCAATTTGAGGTTAAAATTTCTGTCAAATTCAACTTTTCCTTCGAAATTTTTGCGAATTAGAGTAGACTTGGAGATTTAATTGTCACACTATATTCGGACGAACGAATTTTCGAAATAAAAAGGAAACAGAGTAAGGAACGTGCGAAATTTCGATCGAAATTTCGTTTTTCGTTGAAATAAAGTAGACCTCCTGTAGTCAGGTCGCTGAATCATCAAAGGAAAACGTTTTTGTTCAAAAACAGTGTGCAATCCTCGTGTACAATGTATAATGTCATTAAGTGGTAAAACATGATATCTGAAATCAATAAAGCCAGTGTCACTGAGTAAAGTATTAACAAACATTGATTTCCAAAATTCCATCGTACTACATATAATTGCATCGTGTTCTTCAAGCACAAAAACTCGTATAAAAAAAATCGAGTGTACTTATGACCACACGACTGAAGTGAAACTTCTTTAGCTTATCCCCACTCAACTCCCGTTTGCCTCGCCCGAACACACTTTTCGTAACGCGTAACGCATTCGCCAGCTTACCCCCCAAGTCGAGCATGCGTAAAGAAGTTTCACTTATAATGTCTAATTGACTTTTTGCAAAACTACCTAGATGCTCATAGGAAAATTATTAATCTAAAATTGTTCCTATTTCAGGTGCACAAGCCTGTACCTACCCGGGCACCACAATATCAGGGAGGATGTCTTCAGTGAAGTTCTATTACAAGATCGGGGAAACTGTCACGTTCACGTGCGAACCTGGTTACAGGCTGAAGGGAGCGCCAATGTTGCGATGTCTCAAGTAAGTAAGATTCGAGGTCGCAATTTCAATGTTCTTTCTTTATTTTGAACCTTTAGAATGTGGTATTTAGAAAACTACGCTACGCACATGATTAAAGGTGAAGAGAGGGATACACCCAAGCACGAACTTTGACAGCTCCGTAATCGTATCGTCAACGTCAAAAATACTAAGAAAATTCGACACAGCCGTCAGGGCCGTGGTTGGCCAGTGCGTCCGCCCGGATAGCGGTGGGTGCGGGGTTGGAGTCCCGTCTGCTGCCTGCTCCGCGTGAAATTTTTTCTACTTAAATTTTCTTTCGGTTTAAACATCTAGCAGTAATAGATAATAGATTGTTCTTACGTCCGGTAGGGGTGTTGTTTAGTTTCCATAGAAACCTTGGCGATGCGAGACGATCATGGAGCTGTCATAGCTCATGCTTAGGGTACTCAGGCCCAAGCACGAGTTTTGACAGCTACGCAAAGTATCGTTATCGTCAAAGTTGCTATGAAAACTATAGCATAGCAACGCCCCTACCGGACGTAGAAGAAACTATCTTAATTATATTTTTTTATTTTTAAGCCTTTAACTGCTAGATGTTTGAATCGAAAGAATTTTTTTACTAGAAAATGATACCGGAGGGTGTGGGTTGAGTCCCGTCTGCTGCCTAACCTGTGTGGATTTTTTTCTAGTAAAATTTTTCTTTCTATTTAAACTAGACTTGTAACTGCTTTTATTATATTTCACCGAATACCGAATATCTACATATTATTCGGCCGAATACCGAATACTTAAATAATATATTTTGTCATAGAGACATAATTGGTAAAATGAAAAATTAGAATCGATTGATTACGTATATATTCATATTTTCATTTCTGTTATACAATCATTTAAATAGTTATTGGTACATAACACAGGTACATAATCATTTCTGAATTAGAAAAATGGACGATTCTATGTATTTGAATTATTGTGGTAATCAAAATTTAGAAGGGTAAGGTTCTCATTTCTTTTATAATCATTTATTAAGTAGTCATTGGTACAAAAAACAGGTACATAATTTAATCATTTTCTGTATTAAACAAGTAAACAGTTTTTAATTCATTCAGTCATGTGATGAATGGTTACATAATAACAATAATTTAAAGTTTACGCGCCGTTTTTGGTCATCATATCTCAAAAGTTGGTTTTGTCATTTAGCCGCATTTTAGCTTGAGGACGGCAGATTAGAACAAAACAAAGGAGCGCGAAACAATCACGTCTGTACAAAGTTTTGGCGCTAAAATCCAGCCGAATACTTTTGCCTAATATTCGGCTATTCGGTCAGGGGCCTCGCCGAATATTCGGTATTCGGTATACTGCCAAATATACTATTCGTTGCAAGTCTAATTTAAACAAACTACCATTTTCCATCAAAAAATTGACGATTTTGAAACTTTACGGAGCTGTCACGTGCTCGGGCTTGGGCCTCTGAACGTGCATCAACGTCACTATCACCTTACTCACCTGCACATTGCTTCTTGACTTTTATTTCTACTGTCTTTAGTTTATGGAAATGAGTCGTCACGTAGGTAATTAGGCAAAGAATTCCTTGACGAATATCACGAAAAAGCAATAAAAGATGCAGCAAGAATCGGTAGCAACGTCGGTCTTCCAAAAAGCTGTTTCTCACAATAAAATCATTTTCCTCATCAGGAACAGAAAATGGTCGAACGCCATTCCACTGTGCGCTCCGATTACGAACTTCACCTCATCATCGGAATCACTAGCAATGCTGAACGGCGACATCGACGCCATGTTATCGGACAGCGCCATCTATCCGACGGATGTTCTGAAAACGCGCGAAACACCCGCCATTTTGACTCCCGAGAGCTACAAAGCCGCGATGACGCGCGTCGCCGCTACAAGGTTACTGCGGAGAGCACCTATAGAGATACACAAAAACAGAATTTTAAGAGTTACCAATCTCCTAAGAAGAGACAACGAGAGATAATTTTAAATTTCGAATTAGCTTAATTACGTTCCGTTTTGTTTTCATATTTTTATGTTGTTAATTTCGAATAAGTGAATGGACGTGTCAATTTGAAAAAAATAATAATTTACCTACATGTTGAAAAAGGTTTAGTGTGATTTCTTTTATTGAAAAAATATTTGATTAGAAGTACCTAATATTTTTTTGGGATTATTATTAGTATATATTATTAATATTACAACAAAAAATAATTGGATGAAAATTATAACAACAATAAATGTTTCAACTATCTAATGCCGGCACTTCGCTTGGCTACAAACTAGACATCAGTACTTATGTCCTTTTCGTTCCTTAGAAAGCATGATAAGAATAGACTCTTTCAAGTTTACAAATATCCAATTCGAATAGCCAAGTGAAATGCCAGCATAACGTTACTTATGACATATTTGTATCACGACTGATACAACAAACAATTACAAAGTTTGTAATAAAAAAAAACCGTAAGTGTTCTTTTCTTTGAAATGTGTACAATATCTCTTTCTTCTCTCTCTCTCTTCCTGTATGTACAATAACTACCAATGTACTTATTGAAAATGGATTTGAATGAAGCCTGAAAAGGCTCAAAAATGTATAATTTAAATTGTAGCAAAAGTATTACAATATGAATTAATTTTGTATTTTTGAAGACTGTTATTTAAATAGTAAATTAATTGATAAAGCTATTTATTAGTTACCATTATATTGGATAAGTTCGAAAAAAAATGTTATTAGATTATTTTTTGTTAGGTAAGTACGTGTAAATAACATATTGCTTCGCCAAAGAAAAGAATATTCGTATAAATATTAGTCCAAACAATTTTATGTAGATATAAAAATGGAATAGATGTAAGTTTATTGATTAAATTATTGATATAATATAGTAAATAAATAAATAATTTAACAGAAATAATTGATTAAGCTAAATCTATATCACGCACAAACCTTTAAAAAAATAATATATCGGAATGTATGTAATCATTGAAGTTAATTAAGATAAGCTCCAGTACTATAACTTACAAAAGTAAAAACTCACACAATAGGGATGATGACTAATTTTTTTTCTCCGTTTATCAGGTAGATTATCAAAAAGTATTGGACACGTATTTTTTCTTTTTTCCACATAATGATATTAAAAGGAGGTCACGAGCCCCTACTTCCAAACTTTGACGCGCTATAATTTTGTCATTTTTTGGTTGATTGCCCAAAGAAAAAATACGTTTTTCATTATTTTTTGATCATCTAACTGACGGACTAAAAAGAATTTCGTTTATTGTACCCCGTCATCACCCCTATTAATTTCAAAAGCCTAAAAAACAATATTAAGTTTGACTTTTGGCTTAACAAAGTATATCGAATAATCGTCACCTATCATGAAATTTATAATTATATAAAGTAAATTTTTACACTTCGAAAAGACATGTTAATCTTTGATACCAGAAAACAAAAATAACTATGATGTTATGTTTATGAAGTCCACTATACACCCCGGCACACTTCTTGAGCAACGACCATAAACAAGCTAGCCTGCGCAGCAATTTTACATTCAAAAAGTCTACTGCGCAAGTTAATTTGTCTTTGGTTTTGCCCAAGAAGTTTGCTGCTACCTGTAAGGTTGATATTACTGGAGCTTTTCTGGATAAAATGCATATCAGAAAAATGTCGCATATCTTTTTTTTAAGCATTATAACTCGAGATTTAAAAAATAAAGTACAGTTTTAACGCTTTCGCGTTAGTAATCGTGTATATAAGTTTCTTTAAAAACTACGTAAAAATAATGTCGTCGACCGAGATTAACTAAATAAAACGCCAAATAAAAGTACCTACCTACCTACGACGAAAAATTTCGTTTTAATTTTTACCACTAAGTTTCTAGATGAAAATGAGGGGCAGATTTGTTTGCAATAGGTAGTTTTTTGAAAAAAACCATCCCATTACGAAGTCTGCTAAGTGAGCCGCAAAATTTTCCTCCACCCTACCTGATCCAAATATTGAGAAGCGTAGTTCCTATTATAGTTTAATTTCTTAAGGTGTGATCCCACGACGTGTGTTGTCGCGCGCGAGGCTCCGCGCAGGGTTGCCAAACTTATAAGAACTCCAATGTTTGAGATTTAGCAGTATCTATACATGATTTATAAATTACACGGGAACTATGAGTGACAAGAAAAACGTGCTATTTGATTCGTAAGCACAGTTTTAAAGAAATTAATGTAAAAATATTTAGTGATTACTTATTTTGACAGTTGCTGCCACCGTTGACACGTGGATGCTAAAGAGCGAGAGGCAATCTTCTTTATGCATGAGAGTGAAAGAGACTACTTTAGTGTACTCTATTGGCGGCTGTTGCCAAGGGAAGTTGGAGCGGGCACTACTTGTGCCATTTTAAAATGCAATAATGTTGGCGTATACCCGTCTATATATTATACGTCATAGGGTAAAGCATTATGACACAATCATTTACCAGAATAAACCTAGCGTACTGTGTGTGTAATGTACCTGCTGCAGTGAATAAGAATACCAGCACTCTCCACTGAAGGGCACCTCATACATTGCATAAGTGTCAATCTAGCAAATTAAAGTGTGGTTGGTGAGAGAAGTATTTTTCAATTACGCTTACCAAACATTATCTTATGGAGACAATAATTTTTTAGACTTTTTTTGTAAAAATGTAAAAAGGGTGGCAACCTCTTACCATCAGGCGGGCCTGATGCTAGGCTACCATAGCTTATAGAAGCTTACGACACAGATTACTTAATAGTTGAACTTACGATACCAAAAATATCACTCGCACCATTGCCTACCCTGACCCATTCCCCTATCCCATGTAGCCCTGGAACCTTACTCACCGACAGAACCAAAACACCACCAAAATCTAGTGTTATTTTACTGTGATCTTCTGTAAACTCGAGGCTACTTCTCCTAAGCTAACCCGCTAAGCTCTACGCTATCTCTCCTACAGCGGAGCGTGCGGTAAAACGTTTTACCGCACGCTCCATTGTATGGAAACCTAATCACCAACAGAAACACAACACCACCAACTGAGGTCGTCTGCAAGGTGGAAGATGCTTCCCCAATCAGGCGCTCCAATTCAAGCGGGAAATCCGCCATGCTCTATCTCTCCTAATCTGTTTAGAGTTTCAACATAACAACAACTTTTTAGAGTTCTTGTTATCAAGTGAATTGTCATTTAAAAAATAGGTGTTGCGAGCTAGACAATTACATCTATAAAATACAGCTTATAGATAATGCACCGTGAATTAACGGTGGTCGCGCTTCGCAATGGCACGATGCATGCCTGCCTGCCTTGCTTGTCACAAATTTCCGATTGTCGAACGAATGAATGCACGCAATAACATTACAAGGCAATAGTCGAGCGCGAGCCGCGCACCGCGAGTGACGTTGACAAGTTGCGCGTTTTCCCGCTAAAACGTGCTCAACTTTCCGATTGGTCGATCGAAGGCAGACAGCCAGTGTCAAAATAAAAACTTCGTTTTTTAAAACAAAGTGTTAAACTTTTTCCCTCTAAATGAAAAACAAAAAGTTTCTCTATTCTGTGCAGTTTTGTGTTATTGTTATTGTGTTTGATGGCGTAATCTGCGATAAAGTATACTAGAGGTTGGGTAATAGATTTTCTCGTTGACTTTAGATTTAGACAGACGTAGTTTAGTTACCCACATTAGTTTGTAATTAAGATAACATTCCTACGGTTTAGTCAGGTAAGTGGAAAAGAATTTACTTACACATTTTAATGCTGCATTCGGAACAAAACTTTTTAATAAATTCACCAATTTCGTTGGCTGAAGGAAGATAGTTTTTAAACACTTTTTTTTTTCTTTTTTGTTAAGGCGTCTATCGTCTATGGACCGTGAAGTTTTTTCGTGCCAATTTGAAACATTAATGGTTAAGGTGTATAGGTGGAAATAGCATGAACAGGTAAGTAGACAGACGGTTTTTGTGAGGAATCAAATTTTATGAAGACAATCTTAATGGGCGATAAGTGGGTCATAGCAACACGATCACAAAAACTAGACATTATCTAGGTACCCCCGTTTTCATCAGACGTGAGACGGCACGTGAATATAAGTGATTGCATTCTGTGAGAAATTGTCTTGACTACCTACCCACTCTTGTTGTTTACCAAGTGGCAGAGCATCATGGATGCAGCAGAAATTATCTTTTTCTCTTAATACATATTTATCTAAAAAGTAACACATTGTACGGTTTTTCAAGTTCCAAGTCTTGTATTAAAAATTTTAAGCACGTAAACATAATTTCAAAATTCTCATTAGGCTGGGAGTAAAAAAAAACATTTAATACGCCAGACATGACATACGCCAACTTTTCATGAGCAGAGCCTCATAGGTATTTTTTTCTGAAATTATTATAGTGAGGTGACAAGTTGTCACTCTTACTTCCGTAATTTGGAGAAGAACTAATGTCAAATTAATCTTAATTGGTAATGAATCTCAATCACTTTTGCGGAAATGTTTATTTGAAGGCAGCATAATGTACTACAACTTGGAAAACTTTCGCAAGTTATTCTTCAAACATTTGAATAGGTACATATGCCCTTATTAAAAGCGAAGGCTAAGCTTGGATTTGTTACTGCATGTTTTGTCTCTGTTCATTGAATGACAAATAGCATTTGAGTTATATGATGAACTAAACTCGGCGTAACTATTCTAAGCTTACTCCTCGTTTATTAATAAGTGGCTATAGGTACATGATAAGAAAAGCTTTTGAAGACTATCCGTAGATTTTTATATCCGATAAAAGGAAACAACTGGAGTTATTCGACTATCAAAGTCTATTTATTTCTTACTAGCGGCCGCCCGCGACTTCGTATGCGTGGAGAAGTGATAGCGTGATAATATGTAGCCTATATGTAGACCCGACTTCTTAATAATATTCGTGCCAAATTGGAAGCAAATCCATGCAGTACTTTTTGAGTTTATCTCGGACATACATACAGACAAACAGACAAAATATTCTAAATTTTTGGCTTCGGTATCGATTGTAGATTACACCCCAAGTATTCTTTTAAAAAATTATTCAATGTACAGTTTTGACTTTCCTACCATTTTAATATATGTATAGATATTTTCAGGCACACCGCTCATTAAAGAAAGCACTGATACAAAGGGTTAAGGATGCGTTTTGAATACTTTTAAACATTATCGCTACTTCTCTGGTCCTTTAAAGTATTTGTTACTCTTGAGATCGGAGCCTGTAAAGGATCCGAAACGTATAGATATCACACTCACATTATAAAAGCAAAAGTTTGTGAGTCTGTATGTTTGTTACTTATTCACGTCTTAACGGCTGGAGCGATTTTAATAAAACTTGGTATGGAGTTAGCTGACACCCTGGATTAACACAAAGGCTACGTTTCACTGCGGGAAAATATCCCTAATAAACCGCGCGTAACACCGTGGGGCACAACTAGTGTATAAAAGTATTAAAAACGCATTTAAAGCCCTGTTTTATTGGTTTTTAACCGACTTTAAAAAGTAATTATTGTTGTTGTATTTATCAAAGTTTAATTGGCAATGCGTTCAGTTCATACGTCAATCATTTTGTGCTAGCCTAAACATTGGCGTGTCACTTTTCCCAGAAAAAAGTTTTAATTTAGTTTTTCTTTCCAAAGTGAATTAACTGTTCACTGTTATTTTTGTTACTGAGATTGGTAAATCTTTAACTAACTTACCGCTTCGAAATGTCCAAAATTTTATTTTCAGTTGCTCAATTAGTTTGTGACTGAAAATTAAAATTGCATAAATTTAATCGGCGAAACGAAAGCATTTTATTTTTATTTCACGAGAACTTTTGTTAAAAAAAACTTTGTTTCTGTGGCTGACGCTACATATAGCTTGGTAAGCTTTTGAACACTGTTTTATAGGTCCTAGTTTCGAATCCTGGTTTAGGGGCAAATAAGTTAGTAGAGTCTGTGCGAAAAGAGAACGGGATTTAGATTGGATCAATACAAAACTTTGACGTTTTACAGATTGCTGGGTTTGATTGCCAAATAAAAATCGTAATGTTAGTTCCGTTTTTCGCCACGGCCATTGAGTTTCCGCACAGACTCTAAAATAAAATATATATATAGTATTATTCCGACGACAGATTCCTGCAAAGGAGGCGAAACGTCAATAAATAAATAAAATCAGTGCATCTAATCCGATGAAACTTGTTTTATTTAATGAGTGATGTGCTTGAAATCCTAAGAAACAAATAGAGAAAAGTTATAGTATTTCGCTTTTTTAAACGGACCACAGACGTTTATGCGGTACTAGTGGTTGGCCGCGACTTCGTCAGCGTGGAAAAAATAGATCCCCATACAAACTTTGAACAGTTTTTTACCCCTTTAGGGGGAAAACTCACCCTAGTTTTGGAAAATTCTTAGCGCATGCCTACATCATAATCATTATCTCTATATTTGTACCAAATATCAGCGCAATCCGTTCAGTGGTTTTAAGCTGTGAGTTAATAGATCAGTCAATCAGTTTTATACAGTAAGACTATCAATTTGCCCTGGCTTTGCACGGCCAAAAACTATTTTGACGTGATAAAATATAGCCTAAGTCACTCAGAAATTATGTTGCTTTCCAACGGTTAAAGTTTCTATTTTATATCAGTTCAGTAGTTTTTGAGTTTATTTGTTGCAAGCATACGAACATACGCATCTTTATATTATAACTATAGACTCATTTGCACTTATATGGTGGATATTTGTTTTTTTATTGTGTTTTTTGAGTTCAAAATTTATTGATACCTAAGCTGTTTTGATAGGAATATGCAGATGTGTACAAACACTGATCTGTGGATCTGATTCATAAGCTC